GGAAGGATTGTTCACTAGCGTATGGGAACGCAACGAAAATATGCTTTCAGAATTTTGTCTGTTGTTAAGTTTAAGTTACCGTTGGAAAATAGGGGCGAATAAAGCCAGCAGAGAGACCTTTCGGAAAAAATGAACAACAAAAATGATCCGGAACGTAAGAAAAGTGTGTGTGTTAACCCAAATAAGCAACACTACCATAGTAAGCAGCTATGACAGTAACTGTGTTCAATAATCCAGATAAAGCCAAAACTGAATTGTGTTCTAACGAATGTCAGTAGGGGGAGACAAAGAGTCACACGGAAGAGCATGACGAGTGTTACAAGATATTTCTGGGCAAAACTAAATGGTGTCACAAGTTGTACCATGAACGTGTCCTTGCGTACGATCACAATGTATGGATTTCCGCAAACACGAAAGCCTTGGTTGATGATGGTGTTAATTTGATCAGGTTGTAATAGGGGTTTGTATTTTGTAGAGCAGGGAATCAGCGTCATCAAATGCTCGCTTTCGGTAGTTGCTGAATTTAATGAATTCGTTTAAGTTTAAGTGTGTCCTTCTTGATCGCTGATTTAAAATCGGACCGAGTTTTATCAATTTTGACTTAGCTGCTTACCTGATTTTAAATCGATCCAAGTTATATTTAATTTTGACTTAGTTGCTGACGTGATTTTAAATTGCTCTAGGCAATCCAGTTGCGTGGACCGTTAAAAATTACTACACTTTTTTACGACAGTGACAATTTTGTGCTTTAAACGTACCTCTGACTGGTTCATCTGGCATGCAGTGGATTTTGAGCTCAGAAGCTACAGGGACAATGATGTTACCATTGTAAATTCATGCGGAGATTTGAATCTTTGGTACTTTGAAACAGGCATCAGTTTCATCCCACGAAAAGCGTTTGTCGAGCTGATTATCAAAGCTAATGTTGCTCATAGTTTATTTCCGTACTTTCCCATTATGTTATATTCTCCGACGCGATCAGTTCGTTTCTGTGGTTACATGCAGCAATGTTGTTTGCAGCTCCCAAGGGCGTAAGTGTGGTCACAATTTCGACCTCTGCCATCAAAGTGACAGTGCAGCCTCCAGATGACCCATCCAACATCGACAAGTACAACTTCATCGTCAAGGGCAACGACAAAACCAAGTCGTGCGTAGTCGATGCCAAACCTGGACCACTGGAATGCACATTTGATGGCCTGTCGGCAGGGATCAATCACACGGTGGTGGCATGCTCGTGGAATGCGGCTGGTCAGATTTGCAGTGATTCCGTGGCGTCGTTTGGTTGGACGAAGCCAACTGGCAAGTTTACGTTTTCATGCCTGTTTGTGATTTTGAATGTGTGTGGCTGAGTCTATATGCCTCCGTTAGCTTCTCATTATCGATATTTTAAAACTTACCTTTTATTGCTAAATGTTAAATGGTCTGTCTCAACTCACGATCTTTAACCGGAGGCTATTGCTTTCTTACATTTTGATTTCAACCGCCCGCAGAAGGACTCGCAATGTCTGCCAAATTACTTGTTGTTGCTTCCAATAAACGCTTATTCCTATGGGGAAAATTTTAAATTAAAGACAATGTCGTAATTTAGAGGTCAAAAGTAGGAAATAGTGCAATAGCACCACTAAAATTACCTAACGCAGAATGACAGACATGTTGAGTAATGTGGAATCAATTGTCAGAAAGCTAAATGTTTGTTCCGCAGAGCAACCGTGATGATGCAAGCACGATGGATTTTATTAAGACGCAAATCACGTTAGGCGAGATGGGCAATGTACACTATAGTTCAAGTATATTGTGCCAGGTAACACCGTGTGCATTAGAAGAAAGGCTAAATAAGCACGTTGCAACACAAATCGTTCAGGTTTGCGCTAAGGTGTATGTCCATGTGTCTTTCAAGTCGTTTATAATTGACCAAAATATGAATAAAATGAGAGCTTTATTTAGAAACTATGGGGGGTTTGTACACTCTAAATTTGCATCAAGTAAATGGCCACCAGACAATGTTAAATGCGAAGCATACCATCTTCTCGTCTGCAGGCAATCGCACCTTTTTGAATAGGGTAAATTGGTTTGCTTAGACGACACGACAGGAAATCGTAGAGTAGGAAGGTGTATCTAGGTGGTGTAGTGGTGAATGTTCAGGCACTTTCAAAGTCAATTGTGTTGGCATAACAAGTGAATGCAATCAGCGTTGATTGTAATCACGAGTTCTCGCCTTGAGGCAAATACGATGATTTTTGTTGATCCACCAGCACCGGCTGTCGTGACAGTGACGTCGGTTTCCACCACGTCGGTGGTTGTTCGCGTCGAGAAACCAACTGATGCCACAGGAATTGGCCGGTACGAGGTGAGAGTTGATGGAGTGGGTACGACGCCAGCATGCACCATTCCGTCCGGGGATAAGCTCGAATGTCAAGTGGATGGTCTGCGACCTGGCACTGCGTACAAGGTGGCAGTGAGCTCGTGTATCAGTGGCACAGTTCCGGCAGTGTGCAGTGAGGACACGAGGGCATCAGGATGGACCCGACCAAATGGTGAGTTTAATTAGCGTTTTCCAATAGTTTAAATGGGCGTATTGTTAGCTATGTCATCTCAAGTGAACACAAATATCAACTGACATTTTGCAGCTGCAATGTACTTCTTGGTTCGTTTTGGATTGCGTGAGGCTTAGGTCATTTGACGTATCTGTAAGATTTGGTGAACACAACCCCAATGAATCTGTATCAAATAACCAACAGGCATACACGAAATGCACGTTTGTGTTGAATGCATCCATTAGACACTTTAGCTACATTTTGGATACCTCTCGACCGCATAAATCGAAATTCGTTTGCTGAGTGGATAATCGATGACTGCAGTGAAGAGTTGTTATTTTAATGTCAAATTTTTGAATGATCGCAAATAGGACACAGGTCATGGTGGGTGAGACGTTTAATGATCTTCCCTTTTCTACTTTGCTGTACCTGGGAACAGCTTATAATTAAAAATGTAGGAAATCGATTTAACAGAACCTCAGTTAGTTTGTAACTAGTTGCCTGCTGACATACAAGGTATGCGAGTCGTTTGTGGTTGCATCAATTTGGCATTTCGAGTCTTCCTGTACAGGGGATGATTTTATCATGTGAAATCCGAAGTCTTAGTGGAGTACCAGATTTAGTGGAAGTCATATGTGTATACAACCCTACATATTTGCACTCTCTAACGTGACGTGTTCGTTTCAGTAATCAAAAGCGAATGTTTATGTTTGCAGCTCCCAAGGGCGTAAATGTGGTCACGCTGTCGACCTCTTCCATCAAGGCGACAGTGCAGGCTCCAGACAATCCGTCTAGTATCAGCCAATACAACATAACCGTCAGGGCCAACGACAAAACCAAGTCGTGCGTAGTCGATGCCGAAACTGGACCAATGGAATGCACATTTGATGGCCTGTTAGCAGGAACCAAATACACGGTGGTGGCATGCTCGTGGAATGCGGCTGGTCAGATTTGCAGTGATTCCGTGGAGTCGTTTGGTTGGACGAAGCCAAATGGCAAGTTTGCATTGCCTGCTTCGCCAATATTTATGCGTCAAAATGATTGGGGCGCGTGCTTACATATGTATTTGGGCATCTCAAATGCTTCCTGTCAAAGTTTTTCTTCTCAAACAAACATTTAAGAAGTCGACTTGGAGTCTAGTGTATACAAATAGCTGCTAGTGGCTGTTGCTGTTAATTAGTCAGTTAAACTCAAACAAGTGGGATTTTAGGCTTTTCTGCAAATACTTTTTGCCTTGTCGGTGTTGAATTGATCATTCCATTGTCAGGCTGATTGTCAATAGACCCTTGGACCTCTGACTAAAATTATTCTAAGCAGCACCAAGGCGATCAAATATTTGCGGTTCAATGGATCGCGACAATGCACAAAACAACATTTGCTGCAGAATGTTGATTTGTTCGTCTTAGTTTGTGATCCCTTTCTCTAGCGATTACTGCCACAGAATGTGCTTTGGACTGTCTGCAAATTAAGTAGCAAAGTCTAAGTCATTATTTGCCTAGCTTTCTTAACGTGACCTCAGATAAGTTGCATCAACTACTGCGGTATTTGTTCATTAGCCGTAATAAAGCAAGCATGAACGCAATAAATACAGGACTTTCTAGTCGAAGCGATAGGCCCCCTATGTTTTTGAAGTTGTTGTGGCGTCACTTTGTCTGTGGGTAATTAACACGCGCTTGACGTGCATCCACAGACAGTAAAAATCGTTGGCACAGGCATCGGGCCTAGTTAGAATAAGATTTTCAACATTTATGATTATCATTGTTGTGTTCTAGTGCATGCTTTATTTTAGCTGCATGTGGAATGTCTAACCTTATGGATTTCTAATAATTCCACTGAATTCCTTTAAGGGACTTTCATCTTTTTCAGACATTATTGAACTAAAATTTAAATTTTAAAAATTTTAACGATGAATACCTGGTAAACACAAAAATCACCCTTGACTTGTATTAGTGTCAACTTTATGAGAAATCACTTGCCCTTGAGCTCTGGTCTTGTCTTGCACTAGCGCGAGAAGGTCGGCTCTAACGTCAGACAAGGGATCTGGTACCGTTTATCTGAGTGGATATTTCTTGGTTACGGGCAAACACAACAGGCTCACAGTTCACATCACAACAGTCCATGGAGTTCTGTTGACATCACGCTATTACCCACGGTTTTGGTAGCAATCACTCTAATCGCATGGGCGTCATGCATGTTCTGCGTACCATTTCAACAGCACCAGCTGACGTGGCGGTGGTGCCGAGTTCCAGCACATCGGTTGCCGTTCGTTTCAAGGCACCGACAGACGCCACAGGAATCGGCCGCTACGAGGTGACAGTTTCCGGAGTGGAGCTAATCAAATCGTGCACAATACCACTTGGAGAAGAACTTGAGTGTCGAGTGGATGGCCTGCAGTCTGCTTCCAAGTTCGAAGGGACAGTGAAGTCCTGCATCAACGACACCGATCCAGCCGTGTGCAGTGAGGATGTAGTGGCGTCCGGATGGACAAAGCCGAACCGTAAGTAAATGTTGATAGTTGTGAAAATAAATGTCAAGTGGAACACTGCAAAATCATTGTTTGATAATTTAAAATGCACATACTATGTCACACGAAGCAATGCGTATCTGATTCTTTGTAATTTGTACTGGTATTTCACAATTTCTTTGAAGCTGGTGTGAAATTGGAAATTATAATATTGCCATATAAAACGCTGACTACGAAAGTCGTAAAAATTTGACAATTGTGTTGTTAAAAAAACGAAAAATGCGATTTTGACTAATGTTGTAAAACCTATTCGTACTTCCGTGTCACGCAGTAAGACATGGTTACTTAAACCCACAACTGGACATTTCTATGGTGCTGAGGAGTTGCTCACGAAGACGGACACGACATGACACGTTGCACGAGTTAAGAAAGCAAACTTGTCACACCTTTGGTGCTTCAGTTTTGACTAGAGTCTGGTGAGAATGGTTAGTGCTCGGGAGCATGGGTTGCACCTAAAATAAATGTAGATGGGCACTGTGTTGAGCATTAAAGAGGGGGAAGAGGAATTGTATCGAAATTTACACGCTAGCTTGAATATATGCAGTCTAATGAAAGTAGTTAAGTGGATTTTGTCAGCGAGCGATGTTTGGATGTGAACGTGGATACCGCTGCCATGAAACACTTTGCTTGTAGTTTCTAGCGTGTGTTCGATTAATCCCTGTCATTGACACGTTAGGCACTTTATTTTCGTGAGCTGCCTTTCAACAACAGTTTGAAGACACTATAAACCAAATTTGGTTCCTACTGAACAGCATTAAACTAAACATCTTGTATAGAAATCCTGCAGTATCCTTTGTCAGTTGTTCACACACGCACAAACGGTATCTGGTATTCGAAATACTTGGGCTTTGTTAGTAACTTCACACAAGACAAATAAATTAGCAAAGAGGTGAAAGTACACATTTTGACACGATTTCTTCTTGCGCTTTTGTGCTATGGTCAACTATTTGTTCATTCGTGCGAACAGTGAGATACGGGCCCTGCGTGTGGCCATGAATCAGGTCCGAAGCGCTGCTTTGTGAAAGAAGAGAGTGGAGAATGAATTCGCCAAGAAGTCGATGTTATTTCAAGTGATTTGAAAACTTAACTGGGGAAAGGATTTACGTGTATCGATGTTGCGAATCCATTAAACTAAGACTTGGTCGAATGCATTCAGTAATAAAAAGGGAAAGAACGGTTTTCGCATTATGCAAAAAGTGAGTTGATTTTGCCGATTCATTTCAGAGACCGATTCACCGCGTGGAAGGGATCTGCTTCACGATCCTCAATAGTTGTCATAAGTGAATTGTCTGATGAGAGTATGCTGTTTTCAGCTCCCAAGGCCGCCACAGTGACACCACTGTCGGCATTTTCGATCAAGGTAACGCTAACGCCTCCTGATGACACGAGAGGCATTCAGCACTACAAGGTGTCAGTGAAGAATGCGCAACCTGCCAGGTCGTGTGAAGTGGATGTGAACAGCGCCACGATGGAATGCAAAATCACTGGGCTATCTGCAGGGACGGAGTACACAGTGCAGGCTTGCTCGTGGTTCGAGGCAGGTCAAGTTTGTAGCGATGCCGTAGAAGGGCGAGGATGGACAAAGCCAAAGGGCAAGTTTACATTTTGCTGCTAGGCAAATTTTTACTCATTGAAGTGTGTAATTGCATCATATGTGGGCAAGCACAGGAGGATGAGGCGGTTTTTATCTGTTTATCGTGTCGTGCCACATTTGAACAGAGTCCACAAGTAGGCTTCAGGATATGATGGAGTCTATTACCTTTCGCATTTGAGTACCTTATCACGATTTATTTGGCTTTCGTTACCTGTGCTCACGCAAGATGTGAGTCTGAGTCAGTAGTGTAATTGGTAAAATGTGTTTCGATAAACAACCAGCACCAGTGTCATCAACCCCGTGATTGCGTGTAACTGCGTTTTGTGAATACTGGCGTAACTAGGCGATGGGGTTGAGAAGCCCTGATCGTGTTCTTCAATGCATAGTTGGCTTCTACATTGTCGATCAATTGCAATTGCGTATTCACTAAACTACTTGAGACAAATGGGTTTCGGTAAAATTAACCATTTTTGTGAAATAGCATTGTCCAATCTGGACGAGAAATCTATCAGCAATGGAAGTAGGGTATTATTGTAGGAAAGCAATTTTGCATAGGCAGTTCCTAGCAGTGTAAAGCGCGTTCGTAGCAATAAAATGAACGTACCAGGTTTCCAGACTGTGTTTCATCATCTGAAACGATGTTGACATAATTTTGACGTTATTTTGAATGCGACGAATTGGTTTCTCCGCAGGTCCTAAGGGGGTCAAAGCGACTCCACTTTCGACATCGTCAATCAAGGCGACCATTTCTCCTCCTGATCAACCAACCAACATAAACCAATACAACATATCCGTAAAGGACGGAGACGTTGCGACGTCGTGTGAAGCGGTGGCTGGAGCAGACCCACCGGAGTGCACTGTGCGCGGTCTTTCAACTGGCACGAAGTACAGATTGGCTGTATGTTCGTGGAGTGCGTCAGGTCAGATATGCAGTGATGTTGTGGAGGCTGTGGGTTGGACAATGCCAAATGGCAAGTTTCGTTTTTGGCTATCCTTTCTTCCTTGTTTTTTCCTCTATTTACTACTGACTTTTTTCAATAATAGAAATATGGCTGTAATCTGAATAATTTCCATGATCTGATCAAGAGAAAAAATGCCAAAACTTGTGAAATTAAGCTGATTGCAGAAATACCAGTTGGCAGTGGAATTGTTGCTCTTTGCATACATTAAGTAGTCTCAATTATGTTTTGTCATGCATTGATAAAGTAAAAATAATGTCTTCTGGAATGGTTGTTTGTGGAATAGCGCCTGCGGAGATGCTGATCCTTCCAAGTTCATCTTCATCGGTATTTGTTCGAGTCACGCCCCCGAGTGAACCAACAGGGATTCGTCTTTACACGGCGTCGGTAGTTGGTGTCAATGAGACGAGTTTGTGCGTTATGTTAAACATGGAGAACCCCGGGTGTCGACTGGATGGCTTGCAATCTGCCACGGAGTACAATGTGTCGGGGAACGCCTGCGTCAGTACCGCAGATCCGATGGTCTGCAGTGAAAGTGTGACGGCGTCGGGTTGGACAAAACCGAATTGTAAGTGTATGCTAACAGTGCTCTAACCGATATCACCAAACTTCTTTCAGTAGCCTAACAAATCCCTTGATTTATTTAGTCTATGACAGACCTCTGTTTCAGACGCTGCAGTCATGAAGTGTGTAATGATAATAATTGCGGTCCTATAATTTACTATCAGAGTAATGAGACTAGTTGTCAACTTTGGAAGCGATTGTTGTCTTCGTGCATGCCAACGTCCTAGATTCGTTCGCGGCGTACACTAGACAGAAAAGTGTTTGTTGTCGAAAGTGAGCGTGTGGAGGTGTCGGTGGATAGGGTTCAATCTGCTGGTATCCTAAAACAGATGAAACGAATGCGAAGGGCCAAGGGAGACACGACCACTTCTTTACAGCTAATTTTTACTGGTCGTGGCTCCTTTTTAAACACATTCAAATTGGATGTTTTATTATCCAATCGTTTTGAATGTTAGCATAATTTGGACAAGGTGCCTGTAACACTGAAGTGGGAGATTTAGAGACTGAAAGCACTTTTGTTTGAATCAAAGATATATTATTCCACTCTTATGTTTTGTTTACTTGCTTAACGAACACAAGTTTACAAATTAAGAGTTTTTTTAACTGTAGCTCCGGAGAAGATTGATGCGATCCCACTTACAAACTCTTCGATCAAGTTAGCCGTTGTGCCTCCGGATGACACGAATGGCATTCACCAATACAACATTTCTCTAAATGACACAAACCTTCATTTAACCTGCGAAATCGAGAAGGGAAAGGACCCGCTGGAATGCGTTTTCAACGGTCTTGCTGCGGGAACGAAATACGTCGTTGATGCATGTTCCTGGATGCCATCAGTTCACATTTGCAGTGATTTCGTTCAAACTACTGGATGGACAAAGCCAAATGGCAAGTTTGAAAACCATGAGACAAAATCCCTGAAATGATTGCTTTTCGGCCATTTGCTTAGAAGGTTGCAGTAATTATTGTTGAATGAAGTGTGTTCTTGCGACGTACGCAGTTCTAATCAATAGATAATTTCCGCTTCGTATATGCCAAGACTACATATTTATGAAATGCAATTACACAATTCCGTTACTCGAAAAAAAGAATTGTTTGATACGCAAACTGGCTGCATAAGTATTGAATTAATGCTGATTATTGACTTTTGTCTGGGACAGCATCTAATTCGTTGATTGTGTTTGGTAACGGTAACTTTAAAAATAGGCATTGAGACGGTGGTCGTTTTACGAATCTGAAGCCTAAATACAGCATAGTTTAATTTTGTTATTGGTTTGAAAACACTAAGGAGACAATTCTGGTCCTGTTGTACTCAAACATGTCGCAATGGAATTAAGACTGTTTTTAAGTAATATATACGGTTGAATTTCTGGCCTAGTCAAAACTATCCTTGTTTGGTCAAGTGACTGAAATCGATATTGCAACAGTCGTTTCAATTTGTAGGCCAGTTTTAAAGGCAAGTTTGGTTCTGTGGAAGTGTGACGTTCCAGACCAGGTAGCTTTGTAGTTGTTTGGCATAACGTACTTATTCTGGTGATTTGGCTACATAGAAAAGCACTAATTTATCAGTACAGACTGAATCGGTTGTTGATTGCCATTGTCTTTCCAAAGCAAAATTGCAATTTTAAATGTCTGCTGTAACAGCTGATAGCGACATTTTCATAGAAAGAAATTCTAGCTCTTTTTCTAATCTTCCACTAGTTATTTCAACTAAACCAAACACTTGATTTGCCTGACCCTCGAATCCACAATCTCAAAATAATTTTTTTTCAAAAACTCAAAATCTGTGTCCTGTGTTTCTAGAAGCAACTTATCACCTCATCATCCAGTATTTTTTTTAATTTACATGAAATTCGTCGGTTTATAAATGTATGGTATAACTTGGTCTTTAAGATCTAACTTGCTTTTTCCGAATGTTAGTGGTTGTTACTTTTGTGAAATGTTAATTTCCTAAATTGATTTGTGTGGAATACTCTTGTAAATCAAAAAAATAATTAGACAGCGCCTTAAAGCATTCAGTGAGGCAGTAGGTTTTCTAGTCTCAAACCCATTTTTCTGATTTTCAATATTTTTGGCACGATTTTAGTGCCCACATATTTTGGCTTGTTACCAACAGCACTTTTTTATTAAATGAAGCACAATTGTTTTTCTCTGTCCAGTTCAAGTCGTTATGTAGATTGAGTTTAGTGTTTTGTTCTACTATCTGTTAGTAGGCAGTTTGTAAAGTGGGAGTGAGAAGCGATGGATGCTGGACGAAACTGTCTGCAGTGTGCGTGTGGCAGTAAATTTTGCCGAGTTGTGACCTGTCCAGCTTCACCCGTTGATCAGTTACTCATTCATTGCAGCCCCTAGCAATATGACCCTAGGAAGCGTTGACTCTACGAGCATCTACGTCAGTTGGCAGAAGCCGGAGGGCATGATGAATGGCATCACGCTATACAAGGCTTTGGCGAGGCAAAGCTCCAGAGCAGTGGAGCA